TAAGATACTAAATTAGATTTAAAATTCAAACCTATCTGGATGGCTTAAAGACTTATCATATTTTATATCCGGGTTACTGATTATAAAATGTTTTTACTTCCTTAACGTTAAAAAAAAAAAATAATCTTTTTAGATTTTGCGTAAAAAATTTTTTTAAAATATTTTGACAAGATAAACAATCGAAATAAAACGCCTGTATAACGATAAAAACAAGATGAACGTCTATCCAGGGAAGATTTTCATAATGACTGAAAATAATTGACAAAGATTATTGTTTAAGGTTGACAGACACGCATGTGTTTTTTTTTTTTTTTGTTTTGTTTGTTTTTTACGAATTGGTCAAACCTAAACTCAAACAAAACATTGTTTTCAATCGTTATATCGATTGAATAGAATTTTATTATAAACAATTGTCTTGTAAATGGAATTTTTTAAAGCATTTTGAATGTAAAAATGCCCCGGATGTAAAACACTACCTGCCAAAAAAAAGAGATAGAAAAATTAAATGATCCATCATAAAGACACAAAAATAAAATTTTACAAAGATTAATTGTTTAATTTTAATCGTTTTTTCAAATTGACACGCATGTCTTAATTAGTTTTATTTTTTTTTGTTTCAGGAAAAACTGATCAAACCACAAACTCAAACAAAACACATTGTTTTCAATCATTATGAGTCTAAATGTTTGTTTGAATAGAATTTTTAACCAAATAAAAAATCATTTTATAAACAATTGTCTTGTAAATGGAATTTTTTAAAGCATTCTGAATAAAAAATAAAAAAAAACACCAGAAAAGTGGAAAAATAGGATTTAATACATGAAATAAACTTTGTAAAAATTATTACCCCCCGGACAATAAATTTTTGACGAAAAATATTAATAAGAAACATGAAATAGTTTGACGAAAAAATATACCAGTTTTATTACCAGGAATACATTTTTGAGAAACTATATTACCAGCAATACATTTTTGAAAAAAAAAATACCATCTTTAGATTAAAAAAATTACCATTTTTGAAAAAAATGGCGGCATTAAATAACCCAATGAGGTTGATATGCCGTAAACCAAACCAAACCAAACAAAAGCTTTTAAATATTAATGGTTAAAAATGGTTTTGAGTGAGTGAAGCCTGTGGCCCTGGGAGAGGACAATCCTTTGAACATTGAGGACTGTCGCTAATCAGCTAAAATGGATATCACATGTAAATCGAAGAGAATATAACAACATGAACACCATGTTAAGGATCCACATTGCTTCAAATAATTGGTTAGGAACGAAGGAACCTCCCAACAACACTAGAATCAGCGATACTGAACAAGAAAAATCTATTTTTCTAATAAACAAATTTTAATTTTTAATAAACTTGATCATATATCAGTAATGGGTACTCGGTCAATGGATGTGGAATGTTTCCTTATACGGAAAAAGCTAATATTGCTTTCAGAATGAGGAGATGCGAGGAACAGTTACTACACGCTGATTCCAGCTTTATAGCCAGAGAGTGAAGAAAATAATGACAGGATTAGTACTGGCAGTTCCTTCAAAGAATGGCGAACTTTTCCTTATGAGGAAATATCTAATATTACCATTTCGCTAATCCGATAGGCGTTCGGATTTGCGGGTGGCATTTTTCAGTTAAACTGAGCATACCTCTGTCATTGAATTTTCTGAAATTATCATGATGTCTCATTCAAATAAATCCGCAATCATTTTCGGCAAATATTTATAGCTTCAGGCTGTTGTTGATTTGGCCGATATTGTCATAGTACAAATCATTCTAATTACGGTGTTGTGCCTCCTTAAGGCAAATCTATTTTGTGTCGCAGAATCCAGTAATAGACTGGGAATAACTCATGAGATGTTTCTCATTCCTCGAGGGTCGAATATATTGTATCGTTTTGTAGTTTTCTATTTCAGCCAGAATTTTGTGTCCTACATCTTTTTCTCTATGTCAGCCTGATTGATTATCTATCTATCTATCTATCTATCTATCTATCTATCTCTATCTATCTATCTATCTATCTATCTATCTCAATCAGTTCATTATTATCTATCTATCTATCTATCTATCTATCTATCTATCTATATGAGCCATTTCAATAATTCATCCATCTATTATCTATCTATCTATCTATCTATCTATCTATCTATCTATCTATCTATCTATCTATTTATTATATCTACATCTATCTATCTATCTATCTATCTATCTATCTATCTATCTTTGCAGTCCGTTTATTATCTATGTATACATCTCGCATTCTGTTCATCTGTATCTATCCTGTATATCTATCTCTATCTCATTCTGTTCTATCTCTCTCTCTTCTCTCTCTCTCTCTCTCTATATATATATATATATATATATATATATATATATATATATAATATATAGTCTTAAGATATGCTATATTTATGGGATAAAGTGCTCAATATCAGAGATAGAGCGTGTATAAATATAAAAGTATAAACTAAAGGGCTCGGAGATCCCACGTTAAACCGGCCTTGTGCCACATGATGCCCTCGTTATCGTCGCATAGTAATATTCTATGCAAACATAATGGAATATCCTTTTTAATGGTAAATATTTTTGTTTAAATGTTCATATAACCACTGAAAATGGCTCATGTGATCAAGGATCAGCCTAATAAAAAAAATTAACCAAATGTTGGACAATTTTTTGTCTTTATTTTCTCCCAAAATTAAAGCAAACATACGAAGTTTAGTACGGCTCATAATCAAATATAATAGACATTCGTTGTCTGTTATATTTCACACTATATGCTTGAATAATGATCTGATGCCCCAATACACTATATATATATATATATATATATATATATATATATATATATATATATATATATATATATATATAAATATATATAAAGAAATATAGTCTTAAGATGTGCTATATTTATGGGATAAAGTGCTCAATATCAGAGATAGAGCGTTGTAAATATAAATATAAAAGTGAACGTGGAAGTCAGCACTTAGAGGCGACAGTCTGCTTCATGCTAGATGCAATCGTCAGGCCACGAGTCTATAGACTACCCACAATGCACCACTGACCCGTATATATATAAATAGCCCAAAAAATAACAGCACTCGTGGCCTGACGATTGCATCTAGCATGAAACAGGCTGTGGCCTCTAAGTGTTGACTTCTATGTTCACTTATATACATATATATATATATATATATATATATATATATATATATATATATATGTATGTATGTATGCCTCTGTGTGTGTGTGTGTGTGTATTGATATAATAGGAAAGAAATGTTTGATGATCCGAATTGCTTTAGTATTTTTGCTTTTATTTAAAAAAAAGTGCTCGATACAGAAGTAGAGCGTAGATTATAATTATTTTTTTTAAAGAATATGTTTCCATCGCAACATAGAAATTACTATGTTTCGAAACTGATCAGAGTAGTATTTTTGTTTTTGACCAGTTTTTTGCTGACCAGTTTCGAAAGAGTATTTTCTGTGTCGCGAGGGAATCATATTTTTTTAAATTATATATATATATATATACATTTTTGTATCTATTTATCTCTCTCTCTCTCTCTTTCTCTGTATATATGCACATGGATAGATAGATAGATATTAAGAAACTGCGATAGAGATAGATAAATAGATAGATAAGAACCCCCCCTATATGAGATGGATACATTGTCGTCGAAATGAAAATATCTTGAAATACGAAAGAGTAAACCTATTCCATAAAATTGCCATCAGTTTTGAATACGGTCTCCAGACAATCTCCTACATCACTTCTGGACGGTCTCCTTGTTTAAGTTGTTGAATGGTGCCTTCAGTTCATCTCTGGTGTTACAAGGTGCTTTGTTGGTCTTTGGTTCAACTGCGCTCCACACATAATAATCAAGGGGGTCGTAGTATGGGGAGTTATGTGGTTAAATATAAAGGGTAATGTAGTCGCAGAAATTGTCTGACAGCCATGACTGGTTTCGCCTGCTTGTGTGGCATGGTGCAGAGTCCTGTTTGCGAGACATAGGGTCTTCCAGCAGCCTACCTCTTGATTCAGGACAGTACTCCTTACTCAAGGCAATTGATTTAGCCCTCCGTGTTGAGTATGTTGCTCTATCGGAAGATGAATAGAGGCACAACGTCGTCATCATTAGTGATTACTCCAAACACATTCGTAAACACCATTAGACTCATCCAACTCTTTCCGAATCATTTGCACTGTCCTCAGATATACAACCAAACACTCTGAAATGGCAAACTGATATTATCAAACGTAATCAGTTTAAATTATGAACTAAAAATACGTTTCATTTTGTTATCAATAAAATTATCATTTCATTGGAACTAATTTGTAACTGTCCATATCCGTGTAAATACTGATGACTTCCGTTAGACATTTCATTTTTTGGTCTTCATCAGTTTTATAACCCAAAGAAGGAAAGAAAGAACAAGAGTTAAAAATAACAAAAGGAGAAATGAAAGGCAAGAAATTAAGACAATTTAAAAGAAAGAAAGAAAGAAAGACAAATTATTTGAAGAAAAAACGAACAATGTTGATTCCGTAAGTAGAACAGAAGAAAATTTGAAGGAAAAATTAGAAAGAAATAATGAAATAAATAAAGAAAAAATATTCAAAACATTGAATAAAAAAGTGATCTTGGAGTGAAAAAAAGAAGAGGATAAAGAAAGAGCATTTGAACGAAATAACGAAAGAAATATTATAAAAATATTTTTTTAAATTTTAAAATCCAACACGGAAAATGAAAAGTTTGTTTAAAAGGAAAAAGAAAAAAGGAAATAAAGAAAAAAGGATATAAATATCTAAAATAAAAATGAAAAAAATAAAAAAAGAAAGAAAAACAAAAAATAGTAAAAAAAAAATTTGAATTTTTAATTTTATTGAAAAAAAATTTTAGAAAGGAAGAAATTTAGGAAAGAAAAATTTTTATCCCAAAAGAAAAAAAAAGGAAAGAAAAAAATGAAATTTAAAAAAAATTAAGAAAAATTAGATAAAGATGAAATTTAAGAAATAAATAAATAATGAAAGAAATATTTTATATAAAATAAAATTCAGAAAGAAAAAAAAAAAAAAGAAAGAAAGAAAGAAAAATATCGAGAAGAAGAATATGAATGTGCCAATTGAATAAATATAGATTCCTATAGAATAATTATTGAAATAAAGAAAATAATTTAGAAAAAAAAAGAAAAAAAGAAAGAAGAAGAAAAAAGAAACTTGTGGATGAAAGATTGAGAAAAAAAAATAGAAATTGGAAAGAAAAAAAAAACCTTTTTTTAAGAAGGAAAATGGAAAATGAATTTTAATTTTTAAAAAGGAAAAGAAAATAGTTTTGTTGAAAAAGTTTGAAAGAAAGAAACAGAAAGAAAGAAATCAAAGAAAACAAAAAAGAAAAATAAAAATGAAGGAAAGAAAGAAAAACGAAATTTTAGAAATTAAAGAAAAAATTTTAAAAAAAGAAAGAAAAGAAGGAAGAAGAATATGAATTTAGATTGGTTAAAGACGAAATAGAAAAATTTTATTAAAAAAGAAAGAAAAAAGAAATTTAAAAAAAGAAAAAAAATTTTGTCCAGAAAAGAAGAAGAATATGAATGAAAGATTGAGAAAGACATTTTGAAAAAAATGAAATGAAAGAAAAAAAAAAAGAAAAGAAAGAAAAAAAAAAAAAAAGAAAGAAAGAAAATATTGAATAAAAAAAATATTATATAATATTAAAGTGAAAGACGAATCAGAAAAAATAAAATTAAAAAAAAAAGAAAATGGAAAGAAAAAAATTTTCCCCCTCCCAATTCTGGAAAGAAAATCTTTAAAATTGAAGAAATTAATGAAAAAGAAAGAAAGAAAAAGAAATTTGAAAAAAAAAAGGAAAGTTTATTAAGGAAGGACATAAATTCTTAAAGAAGAAATAAGAATAGGAATAAAAAACTGAAAAAAGTAATAAGAAAGAAAGAAAGAAAGAAAGAAAGAAAGAAAGAAACGACATGACTAAAGAAAAAACATAATCGAGTTAAAGCAGATTCTCCACATTGTTCAATGACGTCCCAGTAAACACCGTCTTCAATCTGTTTCTCTTCCCCTGCCAAATCTCTCACACCTTTCCCGGCTTTCATCGATTTTCGTGCCATTTTATTTTATTTTTTTTAAAGATTGTTAAAACATTAATAATCTTCTTTTGTACAGTGGAACAAAAAGGAAACTACTTTTTTTTCCCTCACAAAGAAAGTGTCAAATGTCGTTAACATGATGCACCCCACACAGAAATGGCGGCTTGGCTTTTAAAGACGCCAACGATTCTCACTGCGCGCGCGATTGTCAGTCGGACGAAACAAAATCGGATAAAACCATTTTCAGACGCACAAAATCTGGCGGCGCTGTAGACAATGAAGAGAATGGCACTATTTGTCGGCACTGGTCACGATCGCAAAGGCCGAAAAAGCGTGGTAGAAAAAAAAAAAGGAGAAATAATTAATCCACTATCCTCATTCTTCTCTTATCAACGAGTGTATAAAAATAACGGTTGTATCTTTGAAAAAAAAATAATGGCTGCTTAGACTGTCTGTTTCGCTTTGAAATAAAACTGATTAAAAAAAATATCAACTATTAACAATTAAATAAAGTTTCCTTTTTGTTGTTTTGGCGAACAACGACTTTCAGGTTATCAAATATACGTCATGTAACAGAAAAATTGTCCAAATCATGTAACAGAATAATTATCCATCCCACAAAAGGGATTAATATGTAATAAAAACGCTAAACTGATTGTGTTTCTTTTTGCCAGGTTTTCAGATTAGACGTTTCGCCATCTTGACGCCATTTGACGTCAGAATCACTGAAAAACTCTTTGAATTATTCAGCTAGAAAGAGAAGAAGTTAAAATCGTTTTTTGTCAGCCCTCACTATATGTTGAGAGGAAAAAGATCATTCAGGCCTTCAGTAATTGTACCAACATTCATACTGTGGCTTCCATCTTCAAAGCCCATTCAAAAAATCATCAAGAGAACGAAGAATAAGTTTAAAAAGGACGGAACAGTATAGAAGAAAACTGGATCAGGAGGTTACAACATGAAGAGGGATCATCATGTCAACTTAGAGCTAAAGAGATCAATTAGAAAAGATCCAACTCAATTCATAAATCATTGGCACATGAGAGAGGATTTATCAGCTATGACAGTCCAAATAGCAGTGAAAAAAAATGAAACTGAAATCACACGTTAAACTTTTGAGGCAGCTTATTTCATTTTCAAAAGGACAGAAAGATAGAAGGTTAGAGAGGACAAAGATTATCTTGAATAAATTGGAAAATGATCCTGGAACAAAGAACAGTGAAAAAAAATTTAAAAATGAAATCGTAAGTGAAACACATGAGAAATATTCATTGAATTTTGACTTCATTTTAGAAAATTAGATAATGATATCATCTTGAAAATTTGGATAAAAACCCTTTTAATAAATGGCTTAATAATAATAATAATAATAATAATAATAAAATAATATATATATATATAATCATTTATAGAGCCCGGCGTTGCCCGGGGATGTAACAATAAGAGATAGATCAAGTATCGACCATCATAAAAGACTGAAAAATAAAATTGACAAAGATTATTGTTTAAGGTTGACGGACACGCATGTCTTAATTAGTTTTTTTTTTTTTTAATTGATTGGTCAAACCCAAATTCAAAAAAACATTGTTTACAAAATCGTTATGAGTCTATCGATTGGTGAATAGAATTTTATTATAAACAATTGTCTTGTAAATGGAATTTTTTAAGCATTCTGAATGTAAATAAAAGAAAAAAAAGTTTTTAATAAAAATACTACCTGCCAAAAAAAAAAAAGTGGATGTTTGTTTTATCGGCTGAAAAATGTAAGAAATCCGATCCCATATATAAAGGAACACACAACACACACACACACACACACACACACACACACACACACAACACACTGGGTTTTTTTTAACCTAAGTCACTCCACGGAATCGCTAAAACATAGAGCATAGTCTGATGAAAAAAAAGACGCCAAAGTTTATGAAAACAAAATTTTATCGTCAAAATGCTTATTTTTTTATGAAGAGGATAGACTAAATTTTTTTTTTTTATTTTTTAAAAATTTTTTCCATCTTTTTTAGAATATTCTAAATTTTGATTTAAAAAACCTTGTTTCTTTTTTGTCGCAACAAGGGGTAGTAAATAACATAGATAATTTTTAGCGCGTTTTTTTTTACATTTACACATTAATTTGGAAAATCTTGCAAAAATAAAAATAATTGTCAGATGTTAATGAAACTTTCAGAAACTATTCACAGATGATCAAATTATTATAAATAAATTTTTTTTGTTAAAGTCATGGCAGAAATATTTTTTTTATATTTATTAACACCCCCATAACTAATTTTTATGAAAAACTCTAGAAATTCGAGACCATCGGTTTTAGTGATTACAATAGTTAAAAGCACAAAGGCTTTGAAGAATGCAAATCATGTTTTTTTTTTTTTTTTTTTTTTTTTTTGGCCACGTACCTGAAAAATCAGCTGTGAATTGTAACATACAAAACTCAATAAAACAAATATATTATTTAGTTTCAAATGCTTTTATTTGTTTTAATTTGTTTTTTATGAATATGGACAATATTTTCTGAAAGCAAAAAATTTTTTCAATGAAAATTGAATTTAATACAATTATTTCTTATTTCTTTAATTTTAAAAAGATTTTTTTTAAATTTTAAATTGAATTTTTAAAAATATTTTAACATTAGTTAAAAAGCAACATCAACCTTTCAAAATGTCCGTGTGAGATTGTCATTGTCTAGCGCTTTGAAAATTGTATAATTTGGACCAATCAGATTAGCCATGGTAATTAAGAAATGTAATTTTTGTGTTTATAGTCGGACAGTAATTATCAAGTACGGAAGACCAACCAGAATACAATTTAGTTGCATTATTTGAGTTCAGCATTGTTCTCCGCTGTTAAGCCCTTTACTTTTTGCGAAACACGTATGGAGAAGTTAATTTGAGTTTTCAATTTCAACTGAGAAGGGTACCTACAAGTAACAGTATCATCTTATGAAATTTAACTACTGCTAAACTTTAATTTATATGATCTTATTTTTATATTAATCTCAGTTATGACATTTTTCCATAAATGAAATATCAAAATTAATAATAAAATGAATGGAAATACAAATAACACAGTAAAATGTAATAAATGTACATAAAATTATAGTATTTTTATGTACACTTTCTGATAAAATTTCATAAGAAAGGTACCTAAATTAATTAGATACCTTTTTTCTTATGAAATTTAATCTCACTATTAACAGTCTTATTTTTTTTTTTTATTTCTTTATATTTTCCATAAAGCATCGTAAACGTAAAAATGAAAGCTAAGTACAAAAAAAAAAAAAAAAAAAAAAAAAAAAAAAAATTAGAGCGCTGAAAGTTTTCCTTAAAAGTAACAAGGTAAATAATTTGTTCACTTAAATAAATTTTCACTTCCTTCCATCCGTAGAAAGAATTATCCTCCCGTAAGTTATCTAAACGTCATGAATGTGCCTTTCGTCAATCGTCAAGCGACGCGAAAGGTTATGACCTGCTTTGTTTTATTTTCAAATTACATTTTTTCGGCGCAGAAGCTAAAATTTAAGCTTGGTTCAAAATATTTTAAATAAACAGTATAATTTCTGTTTTTATTAAAATCAGTTTTGAAAAATGATAATTGATTTTTAAAAGAATATCAAAGTAAGATTTTTCAATCTTTTTTATCAAATCGAAAAAATGATTGAAAATGATTATCTGCCCTTTTTTTGACCAAAAAAAAACATATTTTTTACGAAAATTTCAGACGTGCTAGGAACGATTAAAAAATGTAAAAAAATACCCCCAAAATACTTTGATCTTTCCTCTTTAATAATAATATGAACATTAGACGATAAAATTTTGTTTTCATCAAGTTCGGCTTTTTTTTCATCATGCTATGCTCTTTTGTTTACATTTTCGTGGGTGAGTTGTCCCCCTTTCATTCTCACGATGTGTCTTAATCGTGTTTTCAAATTGATTTTATTAAAAAACAACTGTATTTTTTTCCCATTTTCGGTCCCGTTAGAACCACCACAAGGTAATTTTATGTAGTCCTGTGAAGTTTTGTTGAAATTCTCCTAAAAAATGTAGGAAATTCGATCCAACATATAAACGTTACAGACACACACACACACACAACAACCTGCACTACCATTTTATAATAAATAAGATATATATTCGTATATATGAAATTTATTTCAATCATTCACGAGCCTGATCTTTAGTTGATTAATTAATAATTTCAAATTGTTAATTTCGATTTTATCATTATTCTTTTCCGTGCTTTGGATAATTATACATTCTTATTGCTCAAAAGTAGAGTCCAATAGGGTTTTAAAAATCCCTAGAATTCACGGATATCTTTAATCATTTCGAAGATATAACGGTTCAAAGTTTAATCTAACAAATGGACAATTTTATTAACACTATTTGCAATTTTGCTACACGCGGTACATTCCGATTATTTTTTATATCGTTTCCTGTAATAACTATCTTTAATGGGAAAGCATTCTAGCTATTTAATTTTTTAAAAAAATTATTTTAACTCCATAAAGGATAATGCTTTATTTGAATTAGAAGTTCCGTTTAATTATTTATAAGAGGAAATATAATCAGATTATTTGTTTGTAAGGGTGGTCCGAAAGACTTTCTTTCAGTGACTTAAAGTTCATCTAAGCGGTTCGTCATTTCTATTGAGCAGGGATTCTCAAGCAGTTAGATGCAACTATTTACTGGGTGCCGCTCGATTTCTCAACAGAAACAATAATAATAATGAAAATAGAGGAAATATATATCAGTATATAGAGATAAAGGGTGGTCCGATATATATCATCCCTATATAATATATAATTATTAATTTTATTTTGTATAAAAATATATATATATATATATATATATATATATATATGAAGAGAGAAAACTACTGAATCCATATATATATATATATATATATATTATATATATATATATATATATATATATATCCGAATATTTTGTATATATTCCTTGTAAATTATAGACCTGCGTTTCATA